CTTGGGAGAAGGAAGTGCTTCCTGCTCCCTCCAAATTGTCAGAGTACACGGAAACCACATAGCAGCACTGGAGTCTCAAAAGCAGAACTACCATGAGCCCCACGTCCATATACTTACAGCCCCAGATGGCTTTACGGCAACTTTTCTCTGACTCAGCCGCCCCCAAGGGCCCTGCTCCTTCGCCTTTGCCCAACTGAGGGGGGTTCCTACTGCGGGAAGTTGTCTCCTTCCCCACATTACAATCCAGGTTCATAACAGCACACTCAGCCATCTCCCTGCCCCACGTTTGCAGAACATAGCTCCTGTTTCCTCCCCTACCTCCAGACAGGGCTTGCCAGCCAGCCCCGCTCCACAGCGGCATCAGAGCTCTCTGCCATGGCGAGGAGCCTCAAGTGGCAAGCTCTTTCAAAGGCCTTTAATGAAGCAGCTTGATTGCCACAGTGAGCAGCAAACAAAGCCGATAAATAACTAAAGAGCTAGAAAGTGCTCTGGGTGCTACCTGTTGAGGATGAGAGCCACTGAGGGAACTGTGGAGAGTGTGGGAGGGGGCTAAGGAGAAAAGCTGAGCTCATTGCATCCCAACCAGACATCATCAGGCAGAAAAGAGATGTGCAACAAACCACAGAGGGGTACAGCAGCAGCAGGATTAGCCCTCCAGCAAATGGGGGATGCTGGCACATGCAGCTCACCTTCAGTCTAAGATTAACAAGGCATCTAATCTGAGATTTGACTTTTTGCTGTCCTGGTAGCACCTCTTATCCCAGCATCTAGACACTGTTATTTTAAAAATGAAGAAAACAATTCAGCCCTTCTGAGTCTTACTTGGCCCTAAGCAAATGTGGGTTTGGGTTGGTAGTGGTTCCGGTACAAAAGACTGGACTATCTTTTATTAGTGTAATCCAACTTTTACAGAGGCTGTGGCAGTTTCCATTAAAAAAAAAGAAAGTGGTACCTAGCTGTGTATCTAATAACCCAGTTTTGATCTCCCACGGTTAGAGACTGGGAGTAATATCTACTTTGGATTAATCCCTCCCAATTTAACAGCTTTGTCTTTTTCAGCCCATTCCTGCAACACTTCTGCTAGACTACTCTTCGTTATTTTTTTCTTAAGCAGTCCAGGCTGTCCTGACCCAATTAAGGTTCATGCACAGCCTTGAGTCTTGTCTTCTTTGCCAGCCCATCCATCACTGTAAAATTATACTGCTGTTATTATAGGAAGAGGGGGCCTGACACACAGCTCCCACTGACTGCAGTAGAAGCACTATGTGCTTTCTCCTCTGAAAACCTGACTGGTTACTGTGAGGCCAAAATATGGCTCTAACTTTAACCCTTCAGAGCTACTATCTGTTAGCTCCACTGCACCAATACAACTCCTAACGTTTGGCACAAAATATTTCAGTAGGGAGCATCAGTGCTAACTTATTCCTGCACCCTCTAGCATTTTGCTGAGGGTACCTATTCCTGCCCAAAGCCTGCTTTCTAGTGAAACTCTGACTTTCCAAAGATCACTTATCTCTGTGTATAAGTTCACTGCTAGCAGAGACAGAGGGACTATGTGAAATTAGAAGTCTTTTACTCATCAGTATTGCCAACCATCGTTCTTTTATCACGTCTTATGTGAGCTTTTCCTCAAATCCACTTGTATTAAAGATGTTGTTTCAGAATTTCAGTGGAGAAGAAGCACTTCTGATTTTCCCCCAAGTTTCTAGCCCTCTTGGCAGTAGAGAACAGCTTGAAAACATGACTCAGATGTACATTAAAGTTTCGGGAATCAGCAGAAAAAGAAGTTAGCACTGGTCTTTATTTTATCTCAAGATTTTTGTGGCCTCACTCATGATTTTAAATGCTTGGGAGCACTGATAACAGTCTGCCCCCAAAAAGGGCATAACAAATCTCTGTGTCGAGACTGCCAGCAGAAAAAGGCCAAGTAAGGTCAAATGCAGTAGTGACAGGAACGGACTTGAAGTATGGTAAATTCAATATATCCAAGCTTCAAACCAACCAGCAGGCAGCAAAATCTGTCCATCACCACTGACCGAGGTCAGACCTGAAAAGTCAGCTGAGGGGCTAAAGATTTTGTATCTCATTTTTAATCTCCTGAGATGCCCTGCTGTACCTGCCATTCTCACCACTCTTAAATACTTGGTACTTCTGCCACAACTTCTACTGTATGTTCATAAAGCTCTTTATAACTGAGTCTGAAGTACATCTGGTAAGGGAGATGGCAGGATCTTTTCACCGTTCACAGAAACGCAGCTGTGTCTGAAGTTACTAAGCTCCATCGCAAGTTATTAAACAGTTAAATGACAGGAGAGGAAATGCTGATACCTTAAACAGAACATAATTCTCTCCACTGGAATTTGGCAAGGACACAAGGACTAAGGTCCTTACAGAAAGCTCAAGCTGCTCTTCAACAACCGCAAGCATGTACGGACTGAAGCTGTCCATCACCTCTGCAAAGCACCGCACAAGTAGCACAGCACCCCCTAACTGCAATGGCTGTGTACTAATCCGAAGGGAAAAAAGCCAAATTGAACAGTCTGCACTACCCCGGCCATCCCCAGTGCTCCCTTTGCCATGTCTCCCCCAACAGGAAGCACAGTGGGTCTCAGTTTCTCTTTGCCTGTGCAAGCGTGCAGGACCAGTCACACAAAGCAGCACTGTAAGATGGCATAAAGCTGACTCGAGCATGAAAGTAGAACCAATCTGATTTGTGTCCTGCCTGCCCTACAGCCTCATCACCCTTTCCAGTTAATCCTTCTGGCTGCCTTTTAAAACCTGTTTTCACGAAGGTCCACAACAAAATGCTTTCTGGACACCAGATAAAGTGTTCCGCTCCCTTCTCATCGCTCTCAGCCACCATGAACAGTTTTGCATCCTTGTCATTCCCTGCTTGGAAACAACGGCCTGCATCCCTCCAATTAAACACATGGCACTACCTAAAGAAGAGGTAAAGTTATCTGTCTATATCTCCAACAAAGCCCCTGCCTGCAGGACTACTGGCTTGTCACTGAAAATAATCCTTAATACGAAAATTTAACTATCCCCAAACCAACTATCTGCCATACCTTAGTCGCTCTTCTAATTCTGTTTCACAGTGATGAGTTGGAAGTTTGAAACCTCCTTGTAACATCTGAACCCTCATTTCTTTCCAAGAGGTCACCCTGGCGTACTTGGGTTCATTCCTCTTGATTCTGAGAGCCTTAACAAACCACTTCTTCCCCTGGTCCCAGGATTTAAATTGTACCGATCAAACTCACAACCTTCTCAACAAACATGTAACAACTGAGGCTTTCATTTCTGGATCCCACACCACTGGGCAACAGGACATGGTATTCAGCAAATAACAGTATTTATAAAGAGAAAAGGAACTTCATTTTCTCCCCCACTGCTCCTCAGCACAGCAGAGATAAGTAGGTTGGAACTGCGAACCATCCCACAAACAAGACCTGAGACAATGTCATCCTTTCTTGTGGCCAAATATTTTTAAAAACTATGGGACTTTTGGTAATAAATTTTACTGTCCTGGCCTAATTTCAACTGCAGTAACTATGTTCCTCCCTCTAAAATCCCCTTTGCTGCCTCAACTGAATGTACAGTCTGTGCCTGCCTTTCCTGAGCTTTTCAGTGCTCCTGGAAGCAGCTGTAAACTGTTCTCCACCAAGGCAGCTCTGTTTTAGTACTTAATGGAATTTATCTATCTGTATCTTGCGCTGGCAAAGTGATGGCAGTCCTTTAAGTCTGTTATTTTTGTTATTTCAATTCAATTGCCATTAAGAGCTATATATGTTACAAGATATAGTAATTGTTACTGTTGACTCACAATGAAATGGAATGACTAGTTTTCCCCCATATCTAAATAAACACACATATATAATGCTATTTTAGTGATATTTGTGCTGTCTTTTCACTGTGCAGTGGAAAGGACTGCTGGATTATGTAGTCCATCCCTCTGCCAGTGCAATTCCACCCTGTACTTCATCAGTGATGCTCATCAGCGAATGAAAGACCTGATTGTATGGCCCTCCCCATACAAAGCGGACATTGCTGCTAGAAGCTCTTTTGCTCAGAGTAGCCTGACGTCGGTAAGAGTTAGTTAATTCAGGCTGGAACATAACGGTAACATCAGGGACTGGAAAAGGCATATATTTATTTTTCCCCTTTCTAAACTACAATTCTTTCTGTATGCCAAACTCAACTGCTTCCCCCATCATCCAACCATTAAGAAAAATTGTTCTGCTCCTCCCTTCATCCGAGACTGACCATTTCAAACTCAAAACCTTCTGATCTTACTGCAGTTACCTCTTGTCTGGGCTACCATATTCTCATCTGATATCTGGGGAGAAGAGGGTCAGAGAGTGGAGAAGAGAGAAAGATAAGACAGGGAAATGAAAATATTAGCTCAGCTGCCCCCCTCCACCTTACACCCATCCCTCCTTCACCACATCTACCACCCACAGCCCTGTGCCCTTTCTCAACCCAGCAGTAAAAGAATAGTATGGGAACCATACTCGAATGAAGGAGGGACAGATGGGACAATCTAAGTTCCCTTTTATAGGCGCTAGAGCACTCTCTTCTCAGACTTCCAGAGAATTTCAAAGGCTAGAAGGCAGGCAATGCTAAGCGTGTTTCTGATTTGCAAGCCTAGTTCCCTAAAAGCCTGCTGCTCCCCTCCCCAGGCCAAGGGGAAGGGAGAAGGCATCACAGCATATGGCTGGCCATCTCTGCCCACATTCACCCAGCCCAAGAGCCCTAATCCAGCCCTTTCCCCACACACCATGCTATTCATGCAAGGATCATGCAGATGTATCACCAAAGCAATCTTCTGATTGTTCATTCATTGTGAGTAATTAAGCAGTGACTCCACTTCCCAGGGATAAAACATTTCCAGGTCCTCTAGCCCTTACCCTTGGGAAGGTTTTCATTTTAGTCCTACCAGTAAAGAAGGGGACACGCGTTCTTCTCCTCCACAACCAGAGCGAGAATAAAGAGGCAATTACCATCCTGCCCAGAGCTCTCCAGGTATTCCGTCAGGTCGCAGCCGAACGCGCTCGCGGCTCCCTTCCTCTTGAGTTTCTGCTTGGCTCCCTTGTTCTTCATGAGTTTAGTCCCAAAAGAGGTTAGCCCCCCTCCTGCCTTGCCCCCCTCCCCCCCTCCCCACACACCGGGCAAAAAAAAAAAAAAACTCGCTTTTCTCCTCAGACCACCGCCCGTGACCCGCTCCCAGGGAGTAACATCGGGGGTCCCGAACAACGTCCAGCCGGAGAAATAAACATTAATCCCCACCAGATGTTGGGCTGCTCCTGTGGCAGAGGAAGGTCAGGGCGAGAGGAGGCTCCCCAGCCGGCAGCAGCAGAGATCATAGCCCGAGCCCGGAAGGGTTCTCATCAGAGGGAAGTGGGTGGTGGACGGGTGCCTGCATCGGAGTTAGCAAGTTGGGGGCACGCAACGGTGGAGTGTCTTTCCCTCAGCGCTGTCCCAGGACCCTGCACAGCCACCCTCTGGGTTTCATCAGCAGTTCTGTCACCACTTCCAAAAGAAAACTTCCCAGTTCTGTCTTCCTTCCTCTCGCTTTTCAGAAGAGACTGAAGTTCAAAAAGACTAATGAAAAGAGATTGGGGAAAAGCTTGCACAAGGCTCCTCTTTGGCTCCCCCCCCTTTCCCTCCTCCTGCCTTCGGACAGCTAGAGGAATGAAAAGCCAGCTTCCTGTCCTGACTCCCTGTCTCTCTTTCCTTTTCTCCGTTTTACAAATCTTAGGATTATCCAGCTCAAAAAAAAAAAAATGCTGAAAGGAAGTTAGCTGAGGAGGGGGGCGGAGGACGTTTTTTTGGCAGTAAAGTGCATGTGTGTGTATGTAAGAGGCAGAGGGAAGGCGGAGAGAGGAGTTGGGGGACGGGGATGGGGACAGGGGGAGGAAGAGGGAAAGCCTGTCCTGACAGTCAACAGATAACGGACTGCCTAAAAGGAAATCACTGCTCTCCGAGTGGGAGCCGCAGCTCAAGATCAGACACTTCCTGTGCTACAAACGCTCAGCTTTGAAAGGGCCCGAGGAGGGGCTGGGGAGGAAGAGAGAGCAGGAACGGTTTCAGTAAATGTCTGTCGGTGTTCATTGATTCCTTTGTCATAAGACATCCTCCTGCCCTGCAACGTGACTTTGCCACTTCAAGATTTGCCTTCGTCTCCATAGGCACAGGCTGGAGCAACCAAAAGGCAAGACGGGAGCAGAAAGCTGGGAAACTAAAAAGGTGGGGGGAGGAGGAAGTCCTTCAGCTCCCTCCTCCCAGCGAGCAGAAACAGATGCCGTTAGGGCTTCTGAGTTCACATACTTTCAAGTGAGCTCCCAGAAAAGGCTCCCTTTGACTGAAGAAGGGTTTAGAAACACAGAACAGAAATCGCCCAATATCTAGTGACAAGAAGGAAAATAAGATGTCTTTCCCGTCAGGCACTGAACAGCACCCCCACCCCCCACAAGCACCTTTCTAGGCTACCCTTTAGGACACACATCTCTCTCTGCTCACAGTAAGAGCAATCACTTATGCTTTCTCCATATTTTTCATCCCAGAAACTCGGAGCCCTTTACAGAACTGGGTGTGCTGGTGGGCCACACATTTTGTCACTTAGGGAGGCAAATTTAACTTCACTGAGGCTTCACTGCCCCCTCTTGCTCCAAGGCAAATAACTGTATGGCTTCAGTGAAAAAATAAACAAACAAATAAGAAGAGGAACACACAGCTTTTCACCAGAAATCAATAATATGCTGACTTAGGAGAGGAATAGTAGGTTTGGAGGAAAACTGGCCATGAAATGGGGAGAAATCCCTTCACTGAATTACCTCCTTAACCTTGGGGTCCATCCATCAGACAGTACCAAAATCTTGTCTTCTCCCACAGACCTCTGCACAGTGACTACCTCATCCCTCAGTTTTTACAAAGTGGCATTTTTCAGAGAAATCAAGCCTCCATTTTGATCAGATTGCTACCAAAAGCCATTCAGGTTCTGTCTGCTGCTATCATGACTTTTTTTTTTTTTTTAAATGGGTGGGATCTTAGCCTATCACATACAAGGAAAAAAAAAAAACACCACCACACACACACACACACATATATATATATATGCCAAGAGCTCCTGTGCAGGACCTTGAACAATTTTAACTCCCATTGTATAGTTTATCATCACACTTATCCTGATTATCTCCATTTTAGAGCTAGATAACCACGGGGAAAATGATTTGCCCCATGGTCACAGAAAGAATTGGAGGAAGAGGAATATCAGAGAGAAGATTTCCGGTCTAGCAGCTCCCAGCCTTCTCCTCTCCACGTGCGATCACCCTTCTTTCCCAGGTTAAGAGAGGAAAAGAAATAAAATAAAGAAGTTTTAGCTATCAGATGGGCACCTGCTCTCGGGGACCCTCAGTGCTCACAGAACACTTAAAACTTCCTTGAACTTATTTTGAGCCTCTCGCAGCACCATGACGTCAGGTCAGCGCGCGGGATCCGTCTCCGTGACATGCACCTCCCATCGCGTGCCCCAGCGCATCCTGCCTGCCCACCAAGGGGCACGCTTCAAACGCCTCTGGTGGCTGGCTCAGGCAGAACGACTCGCTCCACGGTAAAAAAGCGCGCGCGCCAGCCAATGATGCCAGTGGCTGGTCGGCTCCCGTCGGGGAAGAAACCCATCTCCTTGCCCCTTTGGGTAGAGGAAGCACATCCTGCCGCACGCTTCGGCTCCCTCCCGAGGGGCTGCGTCCCAACGCCGCTCCAGAAGGGCCAGCTGCTTCGCCGCAGCAAATAAACTGCCTTCTTTAAGGCATACAACTTCAAAATCCTTAATTCCCTTCTGCATGACAGCGTTGGTCCTCTCGTTCACTCTACCCGAGACGCCTCACTAACGCGGACCATCCCCACAGTCCTCGCTCCGGTGCCCGCTGCCTGGTGCCCCACTTCTGACAGAGCCCGCGGGCCGGCCCTCCGCTCCACGCCCTCCCTCATCTTAGGTATAGCATCCCCTCCGGCAAACCTTCCTGATGCACAAAACAGGACATCTTCAGAAGAGGGTGGCTTCATAAAAGTCCACCCCCGCAGAGCCAGCGTGCCGCATGCCTCCTCACGTCACCGGCCCAGGAGAGCCCCGGCATGGCCGCCACGGCGCTGTGCGGCACAGCTCGCCACTTCCTCACGTGGGCCCAGCACGCAGGCCATTCAACGGCACCCCAACTCTCTATCCAGCTGAATCTGGCGGATCACCCTCATCCCTTGATATTTCTCACAAGCCACCAGGCATCTTTAGCCAAAAGCCCCAGTTCTTGACTGCGCCTCTGCGGCCATTTCCTGCGGCGGCTGAGGGAGGCGCCGCATTGGGAGCTGCAGCGGTGGGCGCTCTTTGTCAAAAAACACCGTGAGAATGAAGCACTGCCACCAGATTTTGGCTGTGTGGGGGCTGTGAGATGCTGCTGTGACTCCAGCCAGGCTGCCCCGGGCTAGGGCTGCCCAGCAGTGGGGCGCAGCGCTTGGCCGATGGCGGGAGGATTCACCGAGGAGACCGGGATCAGCCATTGCCACAGGGGTGCCACGGTGGGGCAGGCTGCCAGCCGGGGGCCAAGAAAAAAAATCTGTACATAAAGCATAAATAGCAGAAGAGAGAAGAGGCTAGTGAGAAACCTGGGGATAACGGCGCTTTACGTGCAAGATGTAGCACTGTTGTCCAGCCAGCCACCCCAGCACCCCTGCCAGCAGACGGGGCCAGGCCGGCTGGCCCAGGGCCGGCCTGCATTTTCTGCTTCAAAGCACTTGCTGCCACCCCATGTTGTGAGCGCCCCCCGCGTTACAGGGTGAGCCCTCACCTGCGCGTCCCCCTTTGGCACACAGCTTCCCTCCCGGTGGTGGCTCAGCCCCGTTCCCCAGCACCTAGGAGAGCCGTGGCTGCTGAGGGAAGCAGGAGCTGGAGAAATGAAGAGGTGCAGCAGGCCAGCCGAAAAAGACTTTTTCAGGACGTTTCCACCCTAAGATGCAAAGGCGCAAAGGACTCCAAAAAAGCTCTGGCCAGGTAGAGCTGAGCCACGGCTCGGTTCAGTGAAAGGGCAGCTGGGATGGCTGGGGAGCCCGGGCTGGGAGGAGGAGGAGGAGAAGGAGGAGGAGGTCAGGCAAGGTAAGCAGAAAGCAAACAAAGGAGGCTTTGCAACCAAATGGTTTTGTATCAGAGCCCAAAATCAGTGCTGAGCCAGGGGATTTTTCTGAAGGAAGAGGACGAT